CCTGGTGGCACAGCGGTTAAGTTCGCACGTTCTGCTTCCATGGCCCAGGGTTTGCTGGTTCAGATCCCCGGTGCGGACCTACACACCGCTTGGCAAGCCATGCTGTGGCAGGCGTCTCACATATAAAGTAGAGGAAGATGGGCACAGATGTTAGCTCAGGGCCAGTCTTCCTCAGCAAAAAGAGGAAGATTGGTGGCAGATGTTAGCTCAGGGCTAATCTTCCTCAAAAAGAAAAAAGAGAGAGAGACAGCTGGACTTGTTGCTGGGACTTGGTTGGTGAAGGCTGAGTGCCTGGAGCTGCTGCAGCTATCTTGTGATCCTGAGGATAGGAGCCAACACACTGAGGATGATAGAATGAGAATATAGGAAGGAATCTGATGTGGTTGCTGAGCTGCTGGATCGTTCCTACCTCTGCCTTTCTTCATACATGAGATAATAAACCTCCTGGCTGTCTAGGCTATTTTGAGTTGATCTTCTACTACTGGTAGCTGAAAGTGTACTGATACAGTGGCAATGCAGGAGGTAGAATAGTTCTTGCCTGGAAAAGGCTGATATAAGTATAAGGAACTTTCTCATCTCTAGGGGCTACTATCCTGGCCCGGGTCCACTGACTTTTGGTTCTAATGAGAATGAAGATCTCGTCCCGGGTAAGTAGTGATTGTGACCTGGGACATCATTGAATAAGCTTGCAGGATCTACCAAAGGTACAGTCTTGGCCGTCTGGGGGTTCAGTTCACCAAACATTGATTAAGTATGTCCACGGTGCTGGGATCATCAGGACGAATCGGACGCAGCCTCCGCCCTGGAGGGGCTCACAGGCAGTGGGAGAGACGATCGCAGGCCAGCAATGAGTCCTGTGTGGGTCTACGCAAGGTCCGGACACTGACTTGCAAAGTAGCGGGGGAACTTCACGCAGGCAGTTTGAAGGATGATAAAAGAAGGGTCAGAAAAGCAGGCATTTCTAGGTGGAATGAACAGCCTATGCAAACTCAGGGCGACATGGCTGTCTCAGAAAAAATTACAAGTCTTTTAGCCTCATGGCAACAGGACTGGCCACTTACATGCCGTCTGTCTCTGAGCAATTTACTTGACGTCCCTGAGGCTCAGAATTCACATTTATAAGAAAAAGAGAAAAGAAAGAAAGTGAAATGGTTGCGAAATAAGGTAACAGAATCTATATGCCAACCACAATGCTGGCATCTATTAGGTGCACACGAAATGCTCTTTATTATTCATCCATGCTTGTCACATGGTTCTAATTCATTATCTTCCCTGACCCAGGTGGCTTCCTTCCCTTTCTCACTCATTCCTGAGCCTGGTAGCCAGGGCCCCAGACTCCCGCAGACTTGTCCTCGGGCAGGAAACCCGAGCCCGCTGCCTGGCCCGACGGCTTCTAAGGCTGAGTGGTTTGTGTTATTTCTTCTCTTTTCTTTCTCTCTCTCTCTCTTTTTCCCTAAATGCAACAAAATAAAACCAAACAAAAAGCCCAACGCCTGGCGTGGCTCGTCAGGGAGTTATGCAAGTGTGTAAAAAAATAAAATAAAATAAACACTGAGTTTTCAGCATTTGGGGCTGTTTGATTAGGCACAGAGCAGCCCCAGCGGCCGGTGAGAGCAGGGACAGCTCAGGGCAGAGGGGAGAGGAAAGGGGCCTGGGGGGTGGGAGGGGGCCCAGGACCAACTCGGAAGTGGCACTTTGCCTCCTGTTAACTTGGCAATGCTCTGGCTGAAGGAGCCCAGATGCTGGCATTTGGGACCCAACAGCTCCACTTTCTCTGGCCATCAGGACACACCAGGGGTCACTCCATCTTTTCCTCTGTCACTGTGAAAGACCCTGTGCCCTCGTCTCAATACTCAGGCTCCCCCTCCTCTCCTGAGAAGGAGATTCCAGTCTGCCCTGATTACTCACCACCCGCCAGCCCCCACAATCAGTAGAGCTTTTCTGCTCTAACTTAAACTCCTGCTAACTGCCATTTTAGCCCATTTTCCTTTACCCAATCCGAAAGGAAGCTGGAGAACAGCTGTTTGCCACCCTAAGACACGAGCCTCCCTCCCTCCCTTCTTCAGGCTTGACTTCAACATCCTCTGGGTCACTGCAGGTGTCTGCAGCCCTTCAAGACTCATTCCACAAACATTTATGGAGTCCCGACCATTTTCCAGGCATTTGCATCCTTCATTTCACTTGAACCCTCAAAACAGATGAGAACCCTGAGGCTCAGAGAAGTTAAGTAACTTACGCATGGCCACACAGCTGGTAAGTGATGGAGCAGGGATTTGAAGGGAGGTGTTATTTCAAGATCTCTCCTACTCCTCTTAGGGCTCTGTGGGGAGGTGTCCTCACCTGGGTTCCCGGGATGTTAGAGCCTCACATTTCCTCTGAACTGGAAGATGCTCTGAAGATTTGACCCTGAGAGGAAGAGGGCGTGGCCAGGACCACAGGCCCTGATGAGCCCGTCCCTTGTCACTTTTCAGGTTCATGATAGGGAAACTGAGGTTTTGCGAGGCTCCCTGGCCCTGTTCTGACGCCAAGATGCCTGGAGCTGCAGCCGGTGGCTGGCGGCATGGAATCGCCAGGGTGCAGGGTGGGGTAGGGGAGGAGGCAAGAACAGAGGGTCTGCGCCAGGGTCCAGTGAACGTGGGGGGCTGCCAGCCCTGCGCTCCAAGCGCAGCACCGCAGCTGCGGGCAAGGGCTTGCGGGAGGGGGCTACGGACTCCCGGGCCTGGCGCTCCAGTCCGTTTTTTGCTGCGGATCCCGGGAAGGGGGGCCGGCTCGGGGGTGGGACTGCAAAGCGGGGGATTCCCTCCCTCGTGCGAGCGGAGGACCGGCCCCTCTCCGGGCTGAGAGCTCCGGCCGATCGGAGGCGCGACGGAGAGCACGAGCAGCGGGCGGAGAGCGGGGAGCGGACCGCGGGCGTGGGGCATCGCGGGGAGCGAGGGCCGGACCGGGCCGCCCCGAGGACCGATGCGCCGGGTGGGGCGCTGGCCCCGGAGGGCGTGAGCCGCCCGCAGATTGAGCAACTTGGGAACGCGCGGGCGGAGCGCGGGCGCCCAGGACAGTCCTGCGGCGGGCGGGCGGGCGAGCCGGCCGCGCCCTCGCCCCTCCTGGGCCTGCACCCGCCGCGGCTGGCAGCGCGGAGGTGAGTCCCCCCTGAGCTGCCCGGTCCTCCTCCCCAGCGCCCCCTCTCCCGGGACCTGGGAGCCGCGGGCCCTCCCGTCGGGGCTTGGCCGAGGTGAGTGCGGGGGTGAGCCCGTGAGAGCAAGGGAATTTCTGACCGCTCTCTGGTCAACGAGTGTGGGAGAGGGCACCTCCTGGACCCCCTCCTGCAAGCCCTGCCACCCCCAGCACCCGCCGTCATCCCTCAAGCCATTGGGCAGTCCCCTCCTGGTTGCTGCCTCGGGTTCCCCTCAACCCGGCAGCCCCCTGTGAGCGTCCTTACTCGTAGTTCTGAATTCTCCAAGTCCACCAGCCCTATTCACCAGCACCCCGAATCCAGAAGCTCTTGATTCTAGGATTGTCCCATGGCCCCTGGTTACCCGCACCCCAGTCCCGTAGCCTGGGCCCGGGTCCGACGTGGCAGGCGGCGTGCGCCGCGGGCCCCGGTGCGCTGCGAGGTGGCGCGGCTGACTGGCCCGTGGGGTCGGGCGCTAGGGGAGGATGGTGTGGCTTGGCTGGGGAGAGGCGGCGGCTGTGTTGACCCGGGGCTCCCAGGAGAGCAAGGACAGATTCTGGGTGCGCGCCCTTGGGGGCAGGAGCTTTCTTATGAAACCGGCCCCTCGGACTTGCAGAGTTGTCTGGATTGGGGGGGGGGGGGGGCAGTCACAGGGACTTCAGGCCCGCCTCCCCTCCCCCTGCACCTGTTGGCCCTCCCTGGCATAGTGGGGAGGGAAGAAGCCCTTGCGCGCTTGGAGCGATGATGGAGGGACGTGAAGGAGCCTCTCCCCGCTGCCCCTGGTGTTGGGGCGCGGAGAGGGGGCCCAACACCTGGCTTGGCTCTGGCGGACACGCTAATCCCCACGGGTCGGGCAAGCACGTAGTACTTGGTCCCACTCCCAGCCCAGCAATTCTTCGATCCCTGCCCGCCAGCCCGCTCCATGGCCCAAACTCTCCACCCGCATCAGGTCCCGGGGAGGACTAATGAGAAATTATCGGGATGGTTTACATTTTTGGGTGCGTATCCGGCCTCAGACGGAGTACCAATTTGTCCTGATAGTGTTGCAGGCAGAAAGGTGAAAGTTATTCCAGCCTTCTCCAGGGAACTGAGTCCCGCCCTCAGCTCCACCCCCAGCTGTGTCCCCCTCTCCAGCCTGTGTCCTCCCCTCCCTGGACCACCTAGCAGGAGCCCCTCTCTCCTTGATCTCCTGCCCCAGCTCTGGCTCTGTCTCCTGCAGCCTTCCCGACCTCTGTCGCCTATTCCCCAAGCTGCGTCATGCCCCACATCCTTCAGCTCCTGCCCCTTGCCGGGCCCTCCAGATACCCAGTCCTGAGTGGCAAACCATTGCTCACTGACTTGATTGTAACCCCAAGACCTTTAAACTCTCAGCACCAGTAAAATGGGAATAATTCTGCCTTCCTCCCAGAGTTGGAGTGAGGAGTGAGTGAGGGCCTAGCACGTGGCAGGTGGTGCAGGCACGTAATGAATGTGGATCCCTCACTCCCACCCTGGCAGAGACAAAATGCCCTTCCTCACCCCCACGGATGCCTGAGACCTTGATCATTGCCAGCACTTCTCCTCGCTGGCTCTGCCTGTGCAGGGGAACGGGCCTCAAAAAGTGGACTGCTCGTGCTATATAGCCCACGGGGCAGAGGAAATCAGACAGAGGAACTAATAGAAATGAAACAGGCTACTTACAGACAGTCAGCAGCTCCCATCTCCTCTCGCAGCCCGAGTCTGCCCGGCAGTCTGTGTGTGTGCCCACTGCAGGGGGGTGGGAGGAGGGCAAGGATGAACTGGAGAGACATGGATGCAGGGGCCTGTCACCTTCCAGGGCTTGGTACTGCAGGGTCCCTAGACTGAGACCTGTCCAGCTTTTAAAATCACATTTCACATAAAATTCTGAATTTTCAACTTTTCCTTTAATAAGTGAGACTATCTGGTAATATTGAGCCATTATTTCTGCCTATCAACAATCAGCTGGCGTTGAACAGTACATGCTCCCTTGAGGCAGGGCATTTGCCCTCGCGTTCACCCCTTCCGACACCCGGCTTCCCTCCTCTTTGTTGCTTGTATCCCTCGTAAAGTGAACTCCTAGCTCCTTTTCAGGGTTGATTCCATAGGTAGACCTTTCTAGGGGCGCTTGGATCGCTTCCTATCCAGCGATGAGTCGGGGAGGCCCATGTCGCTTGCTCCAGTGAAATTCAGATCCAGATCCTCCTCCCCATTTCCTAGCTGAGATCAGGGTTGGATAGTGATTCCTGGGGGAGTGGACCAGGAGACCCTCACTGGCCGGGTCCAGGTGAGCATGGCAAGGGCTCAGGTGAAAGCTAAGACCCAGGAGGATGGAGGGAGAATTTAGAGAAGTAGAGGGAGGAAAAGGAAGGGAGCTAACCTTTGCTGAGCACTAACCCCGATGTGCCAGGCACCATGCAGGGTGGCACAGGGAGGGCAGAGATGCATATGGGACTTTTTCTGCCCCCAGGACCTCAGGGGTGCTGATCACACGGTGAGACCAAAGTCTCACTGAGGTTTAACACCTGATTTGTCTCCCGTGGTCTTCACCAGTGTTTGCCCCGTGTAAGGACTCACGGCACCCTGAGAGTGAATCTGCCAGGGGTCCTCAGACTTCAGTTTGAGAAACGCTCCAATTAAAAGTTAACCCTATCACTGAGTGATCACGTTGGGGCCGAGGCAATCAACCATAAAGACAAATGCAAATATGGAAATTGCATAACAGTGCTCAGCAGGAAGGTTCGGGTCCAGATGGATACAAAAAAACTGTTTATGTTGCTTTTTAGATGACCGTTGGAATGTAGACACAAGATGAAGTGTTGGGCATAGAAAATACGGCATATACAATTGAGCCCTCACTACGTGCCAGGTACCATTCTAAGCAGTTTCATGTGTTAACTCATTTAAGCTATAAAAAAACAACAACCCTCTTGGGGCTGGCCCCGTGGCCGAGTGGTTAAGTTCGCGCGCTCCGCTACAGGCGGCCCAGTGTTTCATTGGTTCAAATCCTGGGCGCGGACATGGCACTGCTCATCAAACCACACTGAGGCAGCGTCCCACATGCCACAACTAGAAGGACCCACAACTAACAATATACAACTATGTACCGGGGGGCTTTGGGGAGAAAAAGGAAAAAAATAAAATCTTTAAAAAACAAAACAAAAAACAACAACCCTCTTGCAGATAAGGAAACTGAGGATCAGACCAGCTAAGCAACTAGCCCAAGGTAACAGCTAAGAAATAGCAGAGCCAACATTTGAAGCCAGGCCATCTGACTCTGAAGTTTCTGCCCTTAACCATCATTCTCTACGGCCGACCTCTGAGACTATATACTTGGAGCTGAAGACCCCAGGCCGATACGCTCAGCCGGACGTCGGCAGTTGGTGGGTGATGGGGGAGTGCAGTGGGGGCTGGGGAGGATGGGAATGCTTTGGCAGGTCACGCAGGGAGTACTGGAGGGGCAGGTAGGGGCTGGCATTTGGGGGTGGCTGGGGGCATCTCCACTGGCTCCGGCCGCAGAGCCAGGTGGGATCCATCAGCCTCATGTAAACACTTCTCACAAGCAGCTTAACCACTTGAGTGTGTCTGGCCTTCAAAGCTGGTGGGAGAGGCAGAGGAGGGAGGTGCTGAACTCCCTCGTGGGATAATGATTTATCTCCCATGCAGGTGGGCTCTCCTGGGGCCTCCCCAAGAGGTGAAGGGCAAAAGGACTGGGACCGGGGTTGGGAGGGGCAGCTCCACGCTAGCGTTTCAGATTTCTCATTAGTAAGCCAAAATGCAGCCAACCCTCAGAGCAAGCCTGTGAACTAGGCTATTTATCCCCACTCTATAGATGAGGAAACCGAGGTTCAGAGAGGCCAAGTGACTTGTCCAAAGGCATCTGAGCAGTGGGTGGGAGGGTGATGCCTCCCTGGCATCTAGAAAGCTTCCCAAAGGCTTGCTGGTTTCTCCCGTCCCCGTGTGAGTGTGAGTGGGTGCGCAGCAAAGTGTGTGGGGCAGTGTGTGGGCGGGCCTCTGTGTGTTTGCGACCCTGTGAGTGTGAAGTGGGGTTTTCGTCCCCTGACTCCCAGGTTGAGCTCCAACTTCCCAGACACATTTCCCTGGGGAGGGACCAGCTCCCCCTGCCCCCACCCCCCCGGGCCAGCGGGTCCAGAGACCTGGCCCTCGCTGGGCCGGGGGATTATCCCCATTCTCTGTGACTCTGGCCAGGGCGGGCATTGCTGCCTCTTTTATCCTCTGACAAAGGCCAGGCCCGCAGGGCCTGCTGTGTCAGAGTTTCTGTGGCCAGGGGAAGCCTTACTTCCTTTTCTCCCGCCAAGCCCAGAGGGCCACGCAGAGTCTGCCAGCTTGTCAGGGGCCACTGCTCTAGCTCCAGGACAGGTGAAAGGCACAGGGGTGACTCAGCACTGGGAAGAGAAGGCTGAGGGGTCACTCACAGAAAGACAGATAGAGCTCCTCTTCGAGAGACAGGCTATTACTGCAGCGTGAGGTCTGCAGGGCAGACCTAAAGAAGAACTTCCAGCTAGAACTGACCAACATTGGGCAGGGGTGGGGTCAGCTGGTTTCCCGTGATCCACAAGTTTTATTTGAGTGTCCACCGTATTCTAGCTACTTGGGTAGCCGGCTCCAGTCCCAGGTCAGGGAATTCCACAAGATAGGAAAAGCAGTAGATTTCTTCTACAGGGGTGCCAGGTGGGTAGCTTGTAATGTCCAAACATTCTGAGTTCTCACAGTCTCCTAGGTAGGGGACATGGGAGGGTAGGAGGCATAGGTTGGGGGGCCCTATGGTACCCCAGAATTAACCCTTCTCTCTCATCCCTCCCTCAATAGGTTGGTTTTTGGAGGTGTCCCTGCTGAAGTGACAAAGAGTTATCCCATGTGACACCCCGAGGTGCCTTTGAGGGAAGCTCTCTGGACTTCCTTATGGGCTGATGGAAAAGTGGGCTCCCCGCACCCTCTCTGTCCCCAGCTGAGATTATGGTGGATTTGGGATCCAGCCCAGGCCTGGGCCTCCTGCTGCTGACCCAGCCCCGGAGGCGTTAGCAAGAGCCCTGCGCCGTCCACCCCACCTCCCCAGAGACCACCCCTCCCACCAGGGGCCTGGAGCTGGCGAGTGACTATGCGGCTTGGGCTGTGTGTGGTGGCCCTGGTTCTGAGCTGGATGCATCTCGCTGCCGGCAGCCGGGGGATCAAGGGGAAGAGGCAGAGGCGGAGTGAGTACTGGAGCGGGGCTGGACCACTGAGGGCCTTGGGGGTGGGAGGGGGCCTGTGCTAGTTTCATTCTGTGGTGACCATTGCAGATTTCTACTTTATTACACCTTTGTACATTACTCGGTAGATTATCCTGCTTGTGGATTATCCAGTTTGTGGATTAATTTGTTGAGATTACCCACTCTATAGATCACTCCTTTTGCCTATTTTCCCCTTTGTAGACTCTGCTTTCTAGATTAACCCCTCTCTTGTGAGAATCCAGTTTGTGGATTATGCCCTTTGACATGACACCAGCTTTGTGTGGTATCCATGGAGATGATTGCTGGCCCCGCAGCCAGGGATGCGCGGTCCCCTCCGCACTGACGGGAGTCCAGGGCTCCTTTCTTTTACTGGTGGCTCCTTTGGGGCAGGGAACTCTGCACAGCTTGGCGATGGGCAACTGCCTTCCCTGCCCAGATCATGGTTTTTAGCCCAGCCCAGTGGTATTCAGGGAGCTGCATGGTGGGGGGGGGGGGGGGTGACGGGGAGGCAAGTGGATGGCAGTCTAGCCCCCCTGCCCTCCCAACCAGAGCGGCTCCACTCTTCCCTGCTTTCCATAAGACTCCGTGTAAGATGTCATTGGAAGAAAGAGTTCTCACAGCTTAAAATAAAATAAATCGTATCATTGTACAGATGGGGAAACTGAGGCTAAGAAAGGAGAAGAGATGACAGGCACAAGGACACACAGTCAGTGTTGGAACCCAGGTCTCCTAATTCCTTCGAGCCCAGTCTTCTTGAAAACAGAGCTTGATAAGAGTTCAAGGTTAGCCTGTCTCTACCGCCCTCGCCGCCCCTCGCAGATTCCTGTCCTAGGCGGTCCTGAGGGAGGTCCTCTTGCCACTGCCAATGTCTCCAGGGATGAGGGTTCAGTTCACGCACATTATGTTGGAGAATGGCTACTCTGTGTGAGCGACCCATGCTAGGGAGTGGGCTGGAGGCCTGTGCTGCAGACCCCAAGGCCTGTCTGTCTCTCAGCATCCCCGGTAAGGGAGAGATGTCACGCCCACAGGCAGGCAGCTCCTCTGAAATCTAGCCCAACCACCTCTTGCTCCGCTTTGGAGGCCTGCAGACCGAGGCCTGCCAGGAAAGGTCGAAAGGCAGTGGCGTTTTGTTGGGTCTCCACGGGAGCGGCCAAGGCCAGAACCCAGCCCAGGGAGAGAAGCTCAGAGAGCTGGTGAAGCTGAAAATCCCTGGCTTAACGAACAATTAGAGACGGTTACGTTTAATCAGCAGCGAGCCCTTCATTTTCCTCCCTTCTCATCTGTTGTGGCCAGTGTTTTGGACTCCCCGGGCCAGATGCGGTTTAGCGGTTTATAATCGGTCTCCTCTATTTCCGAGATGAGAGAGAGGACGAGAGGAGCCACTCACAGCCTTGTGGTCCCGCTTCCACTCACACATGCAGAGGTGCACACCCACCTAAACTGGGGGGTCAGAAGACCTGGGTTCGAGTCTTTTGTACTGAAAAAAAAAAGTACCAGCCGGGCCATCAGAACAGGCCAGTCCCAGTAATGCCCAATCAAATGCAGCAATTTTGATGTGTCTGCTTTGAAAAGCCACATCCCACAGCCTCGGCAGCGTGTAACCCCATCTTTATTGCCAGGTGGTGTGAGTGACAGACATCCCTGATGGTGAGATCTGAGGCTGGAGTGAGGTGTGGGGAAAGACTCAGGATGCCATGAGGGTCCAAAATGGACAGAGGCTCAGAGAGGGATGAGGATAGAGCTTGCTAGGCAATACTTGTTAAATAATGACCATAAACCACAAGCGTACTTAGATAGGAATACGGTAAGGCTTACCTGAGATGATAGGGGTATCTATCGTGAAACCTTTGTAAAATACCAAGTTCTGTAGAGACTTTGGGATGCATGTCATTGTTATATAAACAATGTGTGCACCTTTTTGCCCTAGGGTTTTAGGGGGGTGGGGGAGGGAAGAAAGAGGACTAAGACACCCGTATGTGGCTGCTCTGGCCTCCCGACCACGTAGAGAGGCAGTGGGCAGCCTGGGGGCAGAGGTGGGCTTGCTGTGGATACAGGCCTCAGCTCTGTCCCCCATCTCGTGATGGCACGTCAGGAGGGCAGCTGGATGCCACCGAGTAGAGCTCCGATTTGGAGCCACACACCAGTTCTGAGCTCAGAAATGACTGTTCTCCGGTCTGAGTGATCATCTCCCTGCCTGTTGGGGGAGAAATTGAGCAAAGAACTGTTTAGTGATGAGTTACAAACACTGGCAGGGCATCCTCCTCCTCTTCCACTCATGAGGACCCCTCCCCACCCTGGAGCCCCTCTGCCCTCACAATCTCTTCTTTGCTCGCTGCGCCTCACCCTCTGCTGACCTCCTTCCCATCTGGATTTCCTGCCTTCACCAAGGCCTCGTTCCCTCACCATCCCTCGCAGAGTGCCCCCTCCCCTTACTGAGTCTCTTCTCCTATCTGATTCCTGGGCCCCCTCACTCAGTCCTGTACCCTTTGAAACCCCCATCCTTCACTGAACCCTGACTCCTCCGGAAGCTGGTGCCGCCTCTTTGCCCCTTCTCACTGTCCCATCCTCCACCCGCGCTGACCATCTTCCCTCACTGAAGCCTCATTCGTTCCTTGGGCCATTCCACAAACGTCCACTGCGAACCTACTGAGCCTGGCTGTGGGACACAGAGATGAGTCTTGAGGAGTCCACGGGCGAGTGGGGAGGAGACCATTTCTATCTGGTTTGTGAATGCGGTGACAGGAGGAACCGTGGGGGGCTGGGAGAGCCCAGAGGAGTGACTCCTGGCTTGTGTTTTGAGTAGATGATCTCCAGGCAAGGGAGTGAGGGTGGGTGAGAGGGAATGGCATTCCAGGCAGAGGGAACAGCATGTCCAAAGGTGTGGAGCCAGGAGGGGGCAGAGGCTGTTCAGGTGATGGTGTGCAGCTGGGAGTAGCTGGAGGAATGGTTCATAGGTGGAGATCTGGGGAGCCCTCGGGTTGTAACTGGAGCGGCTGGGCTCACATCTGTTTTATGCTTGGAGGGTCTTTTCTATTGGAAAGAGAGGTTGTGCTGCTAAAACAAAAAACCTACCACGCCTTAGGATAGAGCCATGAAAGCTGCCTGGGGCTGAGGGAGCAGAGCCGTTCTGGGCGTGATGCTGCGGAAGTGGGCAGAGGTCAGACGGGGAGTGCTCTGTACTTGCTGGGCTGGGGAGTTTGCATTTCACCTGACTTGAGCTGTGAGTAATGAGGAGCCACTGAGAGGTTTTAGTCAGGGGGCAGCACGGTCCAGCCGCAGGAAGAGGTCAGGGGAGGTGGCTTAGGTGGGAGGCAAACTGGCCAGTTAAAGGCTATTTGGGGCCAGGGGAGAAAAAGTGAAGATCTAAGCTAACTCCCAGCTGAGGTAAAGGATGCTGGGTCTTCTCAGGGGGGCACACCGGGGATGACCCTGGGCGCCACGAACAGACACATCTCCTGGGAGAGCATGTCCCCTGAGAGGGGCCCTTGCCCGCCCACTTCCTTGCCTCCTCACTGAGGACCCCATTCCCTGTCACCACCTCCCCCGCCAACTGAGCTCAGGTCTCTTACCAAATCGAGATCCTGCAAGGCTAGATACCACCCCAAACCAAGGTCAGCCCTCCTCTGGGTCATGGCAAGTTCCTCTCCACCCCTCATTGACCCTCACTGAACCCACCCTGGGCCCCTCACTCCTTTCCAATCCCACTCCCCGTGTTTTATCCAACACTCAGTGACCTTCATCCGCGTACTCCCCTCCCGGAGCCTCTGTCTCACCACATCCTCAACCCTACCTCTGGGGGACCCCATCCCTTTGTGGAGCTTCATCCCTTCACTGGGCTCCCATTCAGAAAAAAGACAGGCTCCACCCTCCAAAGTTCTTTCTAGTGGGCGACAAAGACCTCTTAGCAGATAATAATGATGCGAGGTGCTATCTACTGTGATGGATTCAAGTCCAGTACTGGGGGCGGGGGAGCACAGAGAAATGCTCCATCTAGACTTTGCTGGGAGGTGTGATCAGGGGAGACTTTCTGGAGGAGGTGACTTTGGTTCTGAGGCTTGAAGGAGTTCGTCAGGCTCAGGAGGAGGCAGAGAGTGCTCCAGGCAGTAGGACCAACGTGCACAAAGGCACAGAGATGTGAAGTAGAGTGATGTGACCAGAGAAACAAAAATAGTTCCATATTGCTTAGGAGATGAGCCAGGTGGGATCAGCTCATGGGAGCCTGTTAGGCCAGGTGGAGGAGCTGCGTCTTAATTCTGCAGGCCACAGGGAGCTATTGATGGATTTTAGGCAGGGGGTGTGACACCATCAGAGCTTTGATTTTAGTAAGATCCTTGGAGGTGAGAAAGCTGGGGGAGAAGGGACTGTGACCAGAAGCCATTCTTAGGGGAGGCAGTCACTGAGCCACCCAGGGGCAAGACCTAATTAAAGGAACATCGACTCGAAAGGGGTTTGGACTAGGATGAAGGAGCCGGAGAAGCAGCAGAGAAACGAGGAGGGCACAGCCTTGCCCTCCTGGCTCAGGGAAGTGGGTTTCACTGAGCGCTTGGGATGGAGGGAGCGGGGGGCGGGGGCAGAGCTGTGGGGGTGTGGGTTTGTGAAGAAGTTGGGAGGGAGGCTCCATCTCTACTCTGAGCGCCCTTCCCCTCACTGAGCCCACCCAGCCTCCTCAGCCAGGCTATGACCCTGCAGGGCTGCCTCCCCTGTGTCATAGGTGCGGGAGCCAGATGGAGACTTTCAAACTAAATCTGAACACGCCTTTCTGTGGTCTCTTTCCTCGCCCCTGGAATACAGCCAGGTTTGCCATTCTGTGGATGCACTAGCACTTTTGGTGTCTCAGAGCCTTTGCACTGGCTCTTCTCCTGGCTGGCATACCCTCTTCACCTAGCCGGCTGGGTGAGGGAGTGCCCTCCATTTCTCCTCCGTTCACCACAGGGCGTAGCCAGCCCTGCTTCCCGCATGCCTGAGTGGGCCTCTCTTTATGC